AAAAAAAAAAAAAAAAAAAAAAAAAAAAAAAAAGAAGAAAAAATAGTTATGTTAATATGATGTTAAGGATTTTATTAAACTTTGGGTCAGTCAAGTTCAGTTAAACTTGTTTTTTTTTGGGGGGGCTAATATACGACTAGGCAGCGTGCCTAATGGTTGTTTTTATTCATAACCCAAATTAAAAAACATTCAGTACATAATGTTCAAAATTAGAACTAGCAACAATAAGAAAAGCTATAACCAATAGAGTCAATATGAAACTCTTAACTTGGTTTTATGCAATGAGCTAGTAAAGCATGCTAAAAATTGAAAATTTTCATAGCTAGAAACTGGCTCAATGTACTCCATCATGCTGCCATATCTCCTTATCATCCTGTGGTCATTGTATCCTCCTCGAACTGATTCCCTAAAGCACGAAATGGTTGTATCATGCATCATGTGACAAACAACAACAACAACAACAACAACAACAACAAACCCAGTTTGATCCCAACATGCGGGGTCTGGAGAGGGTAGTCTGTACGGAGACCTTACCCCTACCTAATGCAGGTAGGGTAGTCTGTACGTATCATGCATCATGTGAAAATTGCATAAATATACCCTGCAAAAACCTGTATAGTGGCAGCAGCAGTACGCCTACTCTAGCCAGCTGCTTTCTTCTAGGAAGTATCCCCATCCACCTAATCCTGTGACTGCCAGATGATGTACATTTTGACCATTTACTGGACTCCTCCCTTCTTGCATATTGTTCTTCACATATCCGACATAGAATCCATTAGGCAGATTCAGCATGTTTGAATAAACTCGTTTGCTTCCAATCATCATGTCCGACCATAAGCATATTTCGTTTCATTGTTCTGATCTCAGGTTTGGACAAAGTGACTTATCCAGATTAAGGATTTTCTTCCCTTGTACTGGTAATTCACCAAAATTCTGGAACACTATATCACCTACATGATCGAAGGCAAGGTCAGTGATAAAATCAGATGTGTGTTGCCTTCTCTAATTGTATGATGTATCTGCACATGTTGGCCCCTTTTGAGCTTCTGGATAGCTGATACAATTGTAGTTATACTCCATGGAACCTCTCATATACCATCCAGAACCTTCTTAAGTACCAGAGAGTCAGTCTCTATAATGAGAGGTGTCAAACCGATGCACCACACAGAATTGTAAACCTTCCTTGACTGCTAAAGCTTCTGCTAACATCGTTTCTTGGAAATCCACAGCCTTGGCAAATATTAAATCACCATGGGAGTTTCTGACACAGAATCCTATAGCACTCCTACCAGGATTGCCTCTACTGGTACCATCTGAATTACATTTATAGCTCTCAGGAGGAGGAGGTGACCAGTAGACAATCTTAGGGGTTGTTTGGTTGTGGAACTAACGGGATAGTAGGGGGATTAAATAGTGACGAGATTATTTAGTGGATATATTTTTATTGGTAGATATTTGGTTCATTGGACTAAAGATGGGATATACGGGGTATAATATAAAACATGTGTTTGGTGTATACTAGATAAGTTGGGATAAATTTTTATTTCCAATTTTAGCCTTGGACTCTTTAAAGGATTTTGGGGGGAAGAGCCTTGGAAAGGGTCATCTTTATCATTATATTGTTTTATCCCGGGATTAAGTAATCTCGGGATTATTACTCCACCCTCAATGTGGGATAGAATAATACTGCAATTGTGGTATAAATTAATCCGGGATTGCTGCGGATTCGAAAATTCAACCAAATGTGGAATAAAATAATCCCGTACCTAATCCCGAGATTATTATCCCTTATCCCACCAACCAAACAACCCCTTAGTGCTTAGCGCTGGTTTGTAAGCTTCAAAGAAAGCATTCATATCAGGCCATGATCTGGGGATAGATTGGAGTCAAGGATACCTGTACTTTGCCAACTGATATAGTAAGTTATTGATTTTGCTTAAACCATTCTAGTAAAAGTGACCCTTTCCCCATGCCTTGAAGTATTTCTCCTTGTCCACAATTGCCTTAACATGATTGATGGAACTGCCTGGTACAATGGCTTCAATTTAACAACTGCCTTTGCATTCCACCACCCCATGATAGCAGCTTTTAACTGGATGGGAGGAAAAGACAAACCAGCAGTCCACAGAATAATTCCAAATTCTAATAGCAACTGCACTTGTTAAGAAGGATGTGCTAAAGTTTCTTGTTGAGGTGAAATACAGCAGCTGCATCTTGAAGGGTTAGCAAACTGCATCCTCATTAGAATATCATCTGTTGGTAATTTGGCCTTTCACAATATCCACATAAAGAATGAAATTTAAAAAGTAAAGTCCTTTCAACCACATTGTTTCATAATAAATTGTACCTCTTCCCTGTGTCTAATATACTGCCAAGCACTCTTCACAGTAAACTGTCTATTTGCTGTTAGCTTCCACCTTGCTTTGTCAAAATGATCTTGTTCATAAATCAGCTTAACATCATTCAAGATATGCTCAGCAATCTCCTCAGATACCAGATGTTTAATTTCCTGTCCAGTCCCCATTTTCTGTCAAATCTGCTCTTCTTCAATAATATACTCAGCAAGGACCACATGATATAGTGCTCCCAATTGTGTCCAGTTATCACACCAATAGGTTGAGAAACCACATTTTTGAGAAACCGCATTTCACTTCCCACCATATTTCTTGTTCTATAAGATCTCTAGCTGAAAGAATCTTCTTCCACACATTGTGAACCTCCCTTCCACTGTACTAGTGTAGGAGCATCTTTCTTGTAGTACTTGTTCCACATAAAATTTGTCCACAATTTTGTGGTTCAAAACTCCACCATAATTTAGAGAACGATGCAGTTGACACATCAAATAATGATCTAAAGCCCAGCCCTACTTCATTTGTAGGTAGACAGAGAGACTGCCATGTATCCTAATGCCTACGTCTACCTTCTTCCTTGTTACGCCAAAAGAACTTTGCAAAAATCTTGTGAATATCATTGATAAAATGTACTTAGGAGGGTCTATTGCTGATAGTAATTGGATAGGGCATGCTTTATAAAACTTGTTTGATCAACATTGCTTTCCCACCAACTGATAATGGTTTGCCTTTCCAAGAACTTAATTTGTTGTTCACTTTCCCAATTAATTTCTTCCTTCTGCCACATGTAATTGGACACCCAAGATAAGTAAAAGGGAAGGTTCCAAATGAGAAACCAGTTACTTCCTCAACCTGTTGAGACCACAGACTAGCCACTTTTTCATGTAAAAAATTTTCCTTACTAACCTTCTGCCCAGAGGCCTGCTCATAATCAGATAGTACTTTAATAATCAATTGCAGTGAATCAGCTGAAGTGAAAATATTGGTGTGATCAATATATGCCAAATGGTTAATCTTTGTGCTCAATTTTGGTATCCCATAACCTTTATGCTCATTGTGATTGTGTAATGCATTCAAACCCCTTGATAAATTTTCCGCAGCTATAATGAAAAGAGTAGGTGACAATGGATCACCTTGTTTGACCCCTCTTGATAATTTGAGGAAACTTTTATCTTGTCCATTAATAAATATAGAATACCAGTTATTGGACAATAATCTTCATACCATGTCTATGAAGATTTCACAGAATCCCAATGCCCTCATATAACGACCCGACCAGTCGCTTTGAACTTTTAACGTTCCATGCGGTGGTTTGAGGTCTTGAGTAGTTTCATATTATGTACTATGATTTGCGTGTATGGTCGCTTTCGATTTTCGAGCGATTCGTGATTGATTTGGAAGAATGGTTCTCATTTTAGAAGCTTTAAGTTGGAAGAGTTGACCAAGTTTGACTTTTGCGTGTATGTACTATGATTTGACCAAGTTTCATATTATGTACTATGATTTGCGTGTATTTATCTCGGATCGTAGTTTTGATTGTTCCGTTAGGTCCGGATGGTGATGTTGGACATAGGCGTATGCCCGGAATTGGATTCGGAATATTTATGGTTTCGTTTTAGACCACAAGTTTGAGAAGTTTTGAAGTTTTTCATAAGTCTTTTTCTTTTTAAACTCCATGCCTAGTATAAAATGGGACGGAGAGAGCAATAGTTACTAACTGACCCTTGGTTGATTGCAGCATGCAACAAGGGGCATCATGGTCCTGTGCACTGTGTCCGATTTGCTCCTAGTGGAGAATCATATGCTTCAGGATCTGAAGATGGAACAATCAGAATATGGCAAACAGGGCCTCTGACAAATGATGATGTTGATATGACAACAAACGGAAAAGTGAAGGTTTCTGCAGAGGAGGTTTCACGCAAAATTGAGGGCTTCCAGATCTCAGACGAGAGGAAAATCAAGGAGGAGGATCTAGCTGATTAGGTAGGTGGCATGTTAACCAGTTTATGATGTAATATTAGTATCATCTGTGAGCAAGTTCCATTTGGATCTTTGCCCCTTATTTTTTGGATCGTTTTCATAGAATAGACTTTTGGTCGTTTTTCAAATTTAGATTACTGGTATTTCACTATTTTTGAACTTGATGTGCTATCATCTTAGCTTGTTTTGGAACATTGTTGTTTGATATCATCAAGACAGGTCATGTCGGATACACCTATAACAAAGTGCATGTTTCGCTTATCTTTTTAGCTCAGCCCGTAAAGGAACTACGAGTGATGTATAGTTTTTCTCGAGCACTATTTACTCCCCTATTAATAAAAAGCAGTTTTATCTGGTTGTGTTTTAGGTTCAACATGATTCTGGTTCTAATCGAACTGATCTTGACATGGTTTTTCTGAGGGGCTTTAATTTAATATACAATTCACAATATAATTCTTTTTGAAGTTAGGTATTGTGTCCGCTTGTTTAAATCTTTAGCCTCTCACGTAGTTTCCAATTTGTAATTTGCTAAAGCTCATCAAAATCGAAAAAGTGAAAAACCATCATAGTTAGAGGAATCGTGACAATTCTAGTTGCAGTAGTTGAATATTTATTTAGCGTTAAAGACATTCGGAATCTCAATTATCTATCTTGTGCTCGAAAAGATCCCTCACTTCCTTGGCAGCACCTCGAGGTGCATTTAGTTGTCTCACATGAAATGAGGGTTGTTCCCCACTCCATGGCATGACACCTTTTGCTCATCCATTCTGCCCGTCTAGGCAAATTTTTCGAAATGATACCTTTATTTCCGTGTCTTCTAGTTACTTCATCGCCTACTTTGATTTCACATTTCGGTGAAATATATACATAAATCATTTTAGGATTATAAATAGAATCACCCCTTTTTGGGTCCACCTCACATTAATAACTCGACCCCTGCCACCTATAGGTACTTTTAGATAAGTTTCTGTTGAAGTAGATACCTGAACACCAAGTATAGCTCGTCACAAACTATCTTCCGGGATATACGACGATTCTTCCACGACTTGGAGTGTTAATGTACATACTAAATTAAAATATCATCCGTCTTAAATTATAAATAACTCTAAATATATCTTTTACACTCAAGTGGTATTGTACTTGCTCGTAGCTACCCTTGGCATGCCATTAATATTCGTTATCGCACTTTAAATACATAAAACCTTACAAAATGTTCAGAGGCGCTGCCTTACGACAAATTAATGAGTATTTAAAAAGATTGTAACAAACAGTGATTTTGTGATCCCAGATAATACACAGAGGGATTTCAAAATCTCATAGTTTAGACATGAGAACATGGCATATTAATCAACTATAATTTGTGTTACACTATTTCTAATCCAAAATCCAATTTGTGTTAAACCCGAGTATATAGTCTCATATCCTGCATAAGATGCTAATATTAAGATTTTGATATAAAATTATAAGAATATCTTTTAACTGAAATTATTCGTTATTTGTCTTTTAAATACAAATAAACAAGGAAAAACCTTATAAATGTTGTATATAGTATTATTTATTAGAGCAAGGTTATGAAAAAAGAATATGTTTTTAATTTATTACGATGACATTTACTCGAACATATATTGTTTATCATTGTATAATGCAGACCATACTGTCTGTCATCGCACTTTAGCTAGATTAAAAATACAAACATGTGCAAGCCACATTATCTAAGTAAAACTTCTAACATTTGAAGAAAGCACTGAACCAAACTATTCACAAAGTTCTTTACAAATGCTTTATTATACATTTGATATAGCTGTTATATAAAGAGTTTCTAGCGTTAAACTTTTCAAAGTAGTCATAGTAAAAGGTTTACTAAATGAAGCTATATTTCTTTTTCTATAAAATGATTTGGTTGCTTGAAAAAATAATATCTCACCCGATTTTGATGTAAGTCAACATCTATAACTCTTAATACACTAAATTCCAAGCGAAAATATCAATTATCATCTAATACAATTGTAGACATCGAAATTTTAACGGATCAACCTAAATTTTAAATTTAAGATACTACAAGACGGCTCTTGAAATTCTAGGAGTCTATTAGGGTTGCTTGGAGGCTACTCTACCAAAACCCTGACTTGGAGGCTACTCTACCAAAACCCTGACTTGGAGGCTACTTTACATCAACCGTAGGTCACTCCTATGAAAAGGGTTACATATTTCCTTAAAGAATATCTCGCAAATGGAGATCATCTCAGCAATTCCATAAACTCTCGAAATATGCTCAAAGAGATCAAATATGAGATCTCCGAAATTCCATAAAACTCTTGGAATATTCATTAAGAGATCAAAGACATGTCAATATGTCTTGCTCAAAGTCCTACGTTCGAGAAATACACCGCTAGGGCCCTCGAATCACGTAGAACAAATCGGAGGGAAGAATCAAGGGAACAAACAAAATTATAACCGCATTATCTTATCAATAAAATTATGTTTCTTCATGTTTATATTGTGGTTGCAATTTATTTTAATATCACAAATAATTTGTTGCAAACAAATTGGCACGCCTAGTAAGACCAAATCTGCCTTTCATCTCTTCTCTCATGGTAAAAACAAATGTTGTGTCTTCTTTGCTGGTACTTCAAACTTCGTCTACGACGATCTTGTAAATTTATGCCCCGACAAACCTTGAATTAAGGGGCATTTGTAGACATCAAAATTTTATTGGATCAAATCCATATGAAATTTGGGTTTGATCCTAAATATAAGATACTACAAGTAGAGTCTATCGAGGTTTCTTGGAGGCCACTCTATCTGAAACACTATCTTGGAGGCTACTCTACCTGAAACCCTAGCTTAGAGGGTACTCTACCCAAAACCCTAGCTACACCTATAAAAGGGGACCACATATTTCCTTTGAAAGAATCTCGAAATTCCATAAAAATTCAGTGAATATTAACAAAGAGAACAAAGACCTCAAATATTGTCTTTCTTAAATTCACCGAAGTGATCAACGAATGTTCTTCCTTTTCAGGGAGTCAAATACTTCCTAAGGAAGTTCGCATCATCCTACGTTTGAGAAATATGCTGGTTAAGCCCTCGAATCACGGAGAACAATCTAGAGAGAAGAATCAAGGGAACAAACAGAATTGTACCCGCATCATTTTATCAATAAAATTATGTTTCTTCATATTTATATTGTGGTTGCAATTTATTTTTGTATCACAAATAATTTGTTGCAAACAAATTTGTAGACATCAAAATTTTATCGGATCAAATCTAGATGAAATTTGGGTTTGATCCTAAATTTAAGATACAACAAGTAGAGTCCATCGAGGTTTCTTAGAGCCCAGTGGGACCAGTTCTGCCCTTCATCTCTTCCTCCTGCAAATCGAAAACTACAAGTTTCAAGATTATCTGTTGTAATGGTCGGGTACTTCAAGTCTCGTCTTCAAGTTTCGGCAAGCCTACACCTCGACATACCTTGAAGTAAGGGGCATTTGTAGACATTAAAATTTTAACAGATTAAGATAACTCATAAATTCAAGACAACTCTTGAAATATTAGGAGTTTATTAGGGTTACTTGGTGGCTACTCCACCCAAACCCTAATTCATGCCTATAAATAAGGCTACATAAGTCCTTCAAAAGGACGATCTCAGCAGTTCCATAAACTCTCGAAATATGCACAAAGACATCAAATATACATCTCGAAATTTCATAAAAATTCATGGAATATTCACAAATAGATCAAAGACATCAAATATTGTCTTTCTCAAATACACCGATGTGATCAACGGATGTTCTTCCTTTTCATGGAGATCAAATACATTCTAAGGAAGTTCGTATCCTCATACGTTCTAGAAATATGCTGGTTAAACCCTCGAATCACGGAGAACGATCTAGAGAGAAGAATCAAGGGAACAAACAAAATTGTACCCGCATCATTTTATCAATAAAATTATGTTTCCTTATATTTATATTGTGATTGCAATTTATTTTTGTATCACAAATAATTTATTGCAAACAACAATTTTTAAAAATCAATCATCATACAATTTAATTTTTGTATACGATTGTTATAACATTTAATTATGAGTATTTTAACAAAGTTAAATACATCATCTAAGTTATAACAAAATATATTTTTGTCCCTAACTTATTCATTCAGCTTCTTGTTCATAAGTTGAAATTTAAGTACTACAAGGAGAAAAACTAATTGAGTCTTTCACTCAGCTAATATAAGTTAAAAGTGTGGTTTATCTTTTACAATAACCAAAATATCTAAATAATAAAATATTTCTTTCGAATTTACCTTTTATGCGAAAAATAATATAGTTTAAGTAACCATATCTATATTGATGTAATATTGTGTTCATATTCGAATTTTTTTTAATATTCTTGATGTGCACACAAACGGAAAAAATTGTTCCCTTTTTATTTGAGTAGAAAAGAAATAGTACTTATTTTATTAGCATGAGTAGATAACTTCGAGAATAAGCTACATATATAATATGTTATAACCAGTTAAATTGTATCTTACAGTAAGAATCTACAATCTATATCAATCTATATCTACCGGAACTCAATTTGATGAATTTTAAAGTTAAACTATTTAAATACGATTTTTCTTTCAAATAAAATTATGTAATTTTAAAATTTTAGTGAGCAATCATTTTGTGTAATATCAAGTGGCTAAATTTGTCTTGAATGTTTTCTTTAATTCTACTTAAATCTGTACAATTTTTTTACCTAACATATTTCAACTTAGGTTTAGCAAAATAAGCTTATATGATGAAAGGGGTACACTGGTGTGGCCCGTTAACCTTACAATTTAATGTGCAAGTTAGATTAATCAAAGTAAAAGTATATACAAATAAATAAGTCTACTTTTGTTGTAGTCAACTAAATATTTTAGAAGAAATAAGACAAGCAGCACTCCCTTAGTACGTAGTAGTATATTTTTCATTTTTTGTCTACCAAGTATTATATCATCATTTCCTAGAACACGTGGCAGTCTAATGCATAAAAGAGCGACGATGCATTCAGTTTGTCCAATCAACCGAGCCAGGTAATCTGTAGTGAAAATTTGTGGAGCCCACAATGACAAAAGTATCTTCATAGCGTAAAACTAACAATACAACTACAGTACCTACAGAAGCTAAACCAATCAAAATAATTGAATCACCTAAAATTACCAAAGAAGCCCTTGGTCGGCAAGCTGGCATGACGACCTCCAGCTGCTTCCAAGGCGCTTCTATATAGTTATAGTAA